CATGCTGTCCTTACGTACAAGTTTAACGCCATTAGGATGCCATGGGACGTCCTTTACTTTTGGTGCAAATAGGGTTAAATCCCTTCATTCACACGGAGGGCCCAGGTAACAATAAATACCTACGACCCCCCATCTGTCAGAGGAGCTGCAAGCAGCAAAGTGAGGCTTAATCACACAGTGGTTATTTGTTAGCCCTTTCCTAGCAGGAGACACATGAGCTCAAGTTGCTATGTCATATAGCAGGAAAACCACCAACAGGATGGATCTAGAGCTTACACTAGAATGTAAGTTCATTGAGCAGGGCCCTCCACCTATCTGTTCCTGTACGTCCAGTTGTCTGGTAACAATTACATGTCTGTTAGTCCACCCATTGTACAGCGCTACGGAATCTGATGGCACTATATAAATAATAAAATAATAATAATATTGTGCTCCTCTATAATACTCAAAGATCACCTTCTATGTTGACAATGACAGGTAAAGGACATTATTTAATAGATATTTTTCATAAATCTAAACATTTGCTAACAACTATGCTAGCAAAACAGACAGATTTTTCTCCTTTAGACAATACCTCCTAGAAATATTATTTTGAAAAATTAACACAAGTTGTATACCATTTCTGAAGCTACATTCAAACTCTAAAACACAAACAAAAAAACCTGACACTGTCAAGTTAGATTTAGAACTAATAGAAACTGTATCATCCAATAAATATTTTTTAAAAAGTGTGTACTGTTGGTTTTGCAACAACATAAATTATAAAAAAAAATTATATATATATATATATATATATATATATATATATATATATTTATTTATTGCCACTTTTTAATTTATTTGTATCTATACAAAATTCTAGATCTTTTATACAGGTACTGACTGGCCACTAGCGTAAATGACTGCCATATCTTCTTAACTGTATTTCTCATGATAAAAACAGAGGGAAAACAAGAATGGATGTTGTTGTCAACCTCATTTAAAGGCATTTGTTTTATAAGACTGACTTACTGTATATCCATCAGTGAGCATTCCAGGCAAAAGCTACCATATGCCTTATGACTTTCTTCAAGTGTTCTTATATTGTTGACATCTATCATTTCTTTATTCCCAAAATCATAAATGAAGACCTATTAAAAACAGAGAACATGTAATCTCCTGGTAGTCCTATCTTTGTATTCAATGTCAGATAAATAACAGATAAATCGAAAATGTTCAGAAGGAAAAAAAATAAAATATGGAAATTGCTGTACTTCCAAGTTCCAGACACCACAAACCATCACTTTTGGGAGTTTTATTACCTGTGAGACTTTTAAAATCAAGCTTCTTATCAATTGTTATATTAAGAATGTACTGTATCTGTTACATTGTAAATGTGGCAATCAATACGTTGGTAGCCCTGCTAGGAAATTACCTTTTAGATTAATATAATATCCTAGTGGTATAAATAGAAATAATTTGAAACATTGTGTACCCAAACACTGTAAAGAATGCACACAGTTAAGTTTCTACCACTTAGTATAGGAATATAATTAGTAGTCCCACTGTAACATCACACAGTACCACATGAGGGGAAGACACTGAAAAGGTCCTCCCAAAAAAATGAAACTGAATGGATTAAACCCATCAGTACATTTGGGTCTCAATGTAGATTTAGATATTTCAGCATGTATAGAGTAATTTTAGTAATGAAATGCCTCTAGTTTTTTTCACAGGCTGACAAACGCATGCATTTGAATTGCACACGTAATATCCTACAGTTCAAATAGTTGAAACCATGAGGTCAAGGGCAGATACTGAGAAGTACTACGAGTGCAGATCCGACGCAAACATGATCAATAGAGTTAGTTTGTGTTTCAGCTTGGTTTAATACATGCATATCAGACTACCTCAAACGTTACAATGTATGACATCACTGAGTGTTGGAGCTGGTTTGCGCATGCACCTAATCATACAGATGCGGGTAAATTATGTAAACACTAACTCCCAACATGCAAAGTAACTCCTGATAAAAAAAAAATCTAAACGAAGACCCCAACGAGACGGCCAGCTGTTGGAGAGGAACCGTATAAATGAATAGGCTTAAATAAATAATAGGCTTAAATAAATGAATGACTTTGAACCCTGGCCACTAAAGAGAACGTAGTCCTTCAACATAAGTGGTGAGATTTAGCCCTTGGTGGAACTGCTTTTTTTTTGCACATTGCTCTGTATATATGCAATTCTGTTTGTGAGTGTTTAACTGTTGTTTTATCTATTATTGATTACATTTATCTATTACATTAGGATTACTTTTCCAATTTTCATTTATACATGAGAATACCTCTGTTCCAATTTAATGTTTCGAAAGTGATAGCCTCATACCAGAGTGATAACTGTACAATTTCTATACACACTTTTGTTGTGTGTTATTTTAAGAAGTGGGAGGAGGTCATTTTATAGTTGCTACCTTTAGTGTGTTTGCTCTGGACCTTAAATAGGCATGTTTGTTTTGAGCCCTTAAGTAGCATTAATATGTAAAAGCTTTGAACACATGGCGCAGACTTTACCCTTCCCATGAGTATTTAGTACATTTCAATCTTTCAGAAAGTGCTTTCTTCCTGTAAAAATACCACTTATGTACAAATATGAAACCAGTTTTCAAATGACATTTAGAGAAGTGGAGAATTTGTTTGCAAAGTATATTTATATAGATTTGGTTAAAAAAAACAAAAAAAAAAACAAAAACAATCACAGTTTTGCTTTAACCCCTTAACGGCGTTCTATGCCGTCCCACATTAAATGGCCTTTAAAGCCGTTGCGGCGGCATAAAACGCCGTAACGGCTTTCACCCCCAGGAGTTCGGCGGTACTCACCTCCGCTGCGATCCTCTTCGGGAGGACTGCCTGACAGCCCAGGTAGCCCTCCACCGGCAAATGAGGTCCCCGGGGGCAATGTGATCGCTCTCAAAGAGCAACCACATGGCCCCCTATAGCTGGCTGTGGATCTGCCAGCAGGGGCTACTGTCTGAAATGTCAGACAATCCCCCTGCTGGTGGAAAGTATTAAAAAAATTATTAAACAAGTTTTAAAATAAAATATATATATTATATATCCAATATATATACACATCTTATATATGTGATACGTAATGTATTTTAATGTTAATATAAGTACATATATTAATCTTAAAATACACTTAGAATGACGTTACATATTTATAATATATATTATATTTATAATACATGTATATATGTTTTATGTTTATATATATATATATATATATATATATATATATATATATACACACACGTATAATTACAATAGTATATAAAGAAAATATATATTTTTTTAAAATAAATTATATATACATATGTAATCTCATTCTAACTGTATTTTTTTATTAATACACATATATTGGTAACAAAATACACTTAGAATGACATTCTATATATATATATATCTATATATAAAATACAAATAACTGCAAATATTTATAGATAAATATAATTACATAAATAACTACATAAGTATACACGTAGACTTTAAATACATATATATGTATATATAAAAATTCTACGTGTATGCTTAAGTAATATTTTAACATAATGATGTGATTTAATTAATTAAAATTTGATTGACGTGCCTGACAACCCAGGCAGAAAGTGCAGAGAATTAAGACACCATAAAACCTGTACCAGGGGGTGTACTGTTTTACCCGGGAGACTTCGCTGAACACAAATATTAGTGTTTCTAAATGATAAATTGTATTACAACGATAATATATTTAGTAAAAGTGACTTTTTTGTATTTTTCACACACGAACGGCACTTTTAATGACGATATTGTTGTAATATGTTCTACTGTTTTGAAACACTTATGTTTGTTGTACTCGTGAGACTTTGCTGAATCCAAATATGTGTTTTTTTTGCAGTTAAAGCCAACGGTATTATGACATTTACAGCTAATTTTTAAAAAATCTTAATTTCTCACAGTTTTTTCAAATTTTATTAATAATAATTTATGTTTCAAATGAATAGTTCATAAGAAATTAAAGCCTAGTTTCTCCTGAAAAAAATTATATATAATAAGTGTGGGTGCACCTAATATGAAAGAGGTGAATTATGGTTGAACAGACATAGCGCAAATACCAGTTTTTGTTTACATTTTGTTTTGATCAGAACGTGTACTATTGACTCCGTCCTGAAGCTGATAAGTACTGAGCCAAATGTACACGTTGTGATCAAATCAAAACGTAAACAAAAACCTGAATTTGCGCTATATGTCTGTTCAGGCGTAATTTGTCTCTTTCATATTATGTGCACGCACACTTATTATATATAATTTTATTCAGGGGAAACAGGGCTTTCATTTAACACCAAATATTTAGGTATGAAACATGAATAAAATATAAACAAAAATGGGAAAAAAACTAATAAATTTTTTTTAGTTCTACGTGACATTTTAACTGTGTGTCATAATACTGTTTGCTTTTACTGTAATAAAATACACAATTGTATTCAGCGATATCTCATGTGTAAAACAGTACCCCTATGTACAGGTTTTATGGTGTTTTGGGAAGTTACAGGGTCAAATATAGCATGTTACGTTTTCCAGTTTTTTTTACATTGAAATTTGCCAGATTGGTTACGTTGCCTTTGAGACCGTATGGTAGCCCAGGAATAAGAATTACCCCCATGATGGCATACCATTTGCAAAAGTAGACAACCCAAGGTATTGCAAATGAGGTATGTCCAGTCTTTTTTAGTAGCCACTTAGTCACAAACACTGGCCAAAGTTAGTGTTAATATTTGTTTGTGTGTGAAAAATGCAAAAACTTATTTGAACGCCAATTCTGGCCAGTGTTTGTGAGTAAGTGGCTACTAAAAAGTAGCCACTTACTCACAAACACTGGCCAGAATTGGCGTTCAAATAAGTTTTTGCATTTTTCACACACAAACAAATATTAACACTCCCACCCGGCCACCTCGCAGCTCACCCAAGGTACCTCACCACATAACGATGGGGGGCGGGCGGAAAATAAAGCAGGGAGCTGCAGAAGTAGCTCCGATATTCCGGAGCCGCAAAGATGGCGGCGCCACGCGGGAGGAAGAAGATGGCCGCGAATATGACTCAGACTCAAGTGACAGGAGCAGAACAATGGCAGCTACACCCCTCACCAAAGAGGACCTCCGCCAGCTACTAAGTGACATTAAGGCAAATATGGCTACAGAATTTGACAGGCACCTCACACCCATCAGAGAAGGCCTGATTGATTTGACCCACAGAACCTCCACAATTGAGGAACAACTGGACCTGACAGTTACACGCACAACAGCAACTGAAAATGCCATAACCGCCCTACAAGAACAGCTCCGACAGTTAGAGGAGGCACAAGAGGACCTGAACAACCGGTCCTGCCGAAATAACGTCAGGATACGTGGAATACCAGAAACGGTCACAATAGAGGCACTGGGCCCAACGCTGCGAGAGCTCTTTTGTGGCCTGCTCCCAGAGGCCACACCGGCGGAACTCCTACTAGATAGAGTGCACAGGGCTCTCCGAGCACCTATGCCCAATGCAACCCAACCCAGGGATGTTATCATAAGAGTGCACTACTTCCACATTAAAGAAGCACTCATGCAAGCGGCACGAAACACCCCCCTACAAATAGAAGGTCACCAAATCTCCTTCTACCAGGACCTGGCCCCGAGCACCCTGCGCAAAAGGAGGGAGCTGCGGCCCCTCACTCAGGAGCTCACGAGACAACACATCCGCTACTCATGGGGGCACCCATTTAAGCTGCAGGTCCGGAAGAACAACCGCACCTACACCCTATACAACACCGCGGAAATGGCAGATTTCGCAGAGAGCCTCGGCCTGGATCCCACAAATCTCGCCACGGACCCGAATCCCAGAAGACACGACAGAGGCCCTCCGCCCAGAAATGCACCACCGACAGCCCCGGCACGCCAGATGCCGAATAGCCCACGCATTAGGGCCGACAACTAAACGGACCGACAACCACTCACCACTCGACACACCAACAGAGGACCGACATACCAAATAAGAAATAAGAAACGACACGGACTACTCTCAAGAGGATCCTGGTCACCACAGCTGACAAAGTACCCGAACACGAAACCTGGACTGACTAAAGAACATTGGCAATCCCACACCTTGATAATGGACTGGAAACAGCCTAAACCGCTGACAACTCCAAGCGCCAGATAAGCTATAATTAACAAACTCTCTCCTTGCTTTATATAATGTTTCCTGTTCACTATTTGGTTGCTAGGACTCATTCGGTAGACAGTACTTATATGTCTCCAGTCACTAGGCATCCTTCCATAAATGGAAATTATAGACTCAGGAATGTGGATAGCACGCACTAGTACCCTGCTTGGCACCAACCCACGTAGACATAGACCACTGCCACCCAGGGTGCAAAATGGAACAGCTGCCCCACATTCACCCACCACATAGGTATCCTAGATACCGCAGCATAAAATACCACAACCTAGCACAAAAACGGAACAGACACCCATAGGGAGGCACACTCTGGGCAGGGAGGGATGGCTGGGGCACCCTCCAATAATGGGCATAGCAGGCGCCCAATACAAGACAAATTTCGGGAGTACACCTCAAAACACTGACGGCTCCCGTGAGCGTAAACACTTCCCCAGGAGACCCCATAAAGCAGTATCCAGGAACATACTCTGCTCCCGCACAAAACACACTGGGACCCAGGAGATGTAGGCACACCCTCCACACAGAAAATCGGGGACAACACCACGAGCACCAGAGAGAATGAGCACAAACGGCACGCCCTGGGAAACAGCAGGACTTAGACAGGCACACCCAGAGCACATACAACCCCTAGGGCCCAATGCAAGCTGGGGCACCACCAAGGATAGGACCTGACCAATACAGGGAGGGTCTCACACTAACCCACAAGACTTGCAAAGACAAAACACCAGGCAACCGAGGGACCGGGAAAGTGTAGCTATCACCCAACCCCCCCATTCCTTCAGCCTCCCTAGCCCAGGGACCTCCTAGGGCTCCCCACAGGGAGACACCATAGGGGAAGATACGCAACACGGGAACCCCTGGATACTAAAGCAGAGGAAATGTATATAACTGAATTGAAGTTGATGTTAAACTGTTGTGTTACAATGTAAAACTGTTACTCATTATTTTTCAGTTACCCGACACACCCCACCCCACCTCAAGTGCTGACGAACGCCACTTACAGCAGACGGCATCCTGACGACATCTTACGACTGGACGGTGACAGCACACCCTCACCACGGCACCATTATTAGATGCATTAACGACCAGACCAATGCCCCACGGGCTCACAAGGTACAACCCTACATACACACGGCACGACACGCAGAGGGCTACCCTCGCGGACGCAACGCCTTCACAACGCTGACCGACCACAGCACACAAGGTAACGCGGACGACTACTGAAAACTGCCTCTGGACGACCCAGACCGGACGGTCGCCAACCCCAGACACACACACACCTACCCGAACTCACGGGGAAACCCACGGAGCGGTCGGACGCTTCGCCCCACTACCTACTGGCCTTCGGATAAGCCCAGTAGCACACTCTACCCATTTCTCCCCCCCACTACCTTAACCCAGGCTAACACCCTCAACCCTCCTGCCCCCCCTTCCCCCCACCCCTCGCGGCCCGCGGCCACCCGGACGTGCAACTCAAGACACTCCATCACTGCAAAACCGCAGAGACCGCCACGCTCCTACAGATAACATGCCTACACAAATACGCTGCATCTCCATCAACGCCAAGGGGTTGAACTCCCCTAACAAGAGGCACGGCATACTACGCTGGGCACATAAACAGCAAGCTGACATAGTCCTCATACAGGAAACCCACTTCACAATCAACCGCATGTTCCCCCTCACTAACAGATACTACACACAAAGCTTCCATGCTCCCTCCCCAGACACCAAGACCAAAGGTGTAGCGATCCTTTTGAAAGCAAACAGCCCCCTCACAGATATCACTTGCTCCAAAGACCCGCAGGGTAGATACATCACCATACGGGGAAAAATAGGCACAACACAGTACGCCTTTTCATCGCTCTACGCACCCACAACACCAGACCCAACCTTCTGGCAACAATTAGCGACTCACCTCAACACGTACTCAACCACACGACTTATAGTGGGCGGGGACTGCAACGCAGTACACACACCTGCCGTAGATCGGGCTTCAAGCGCCAAAACACGAACTCGCCCAAACCAAAGCGACGCCCTCTTCGCACAATTCCTGGCTTCCCATAAACTGATTGACATATGGAGGGCACAACACCCGACCACCAAAGATTACACTTTCTACTCCCACCCACACAGATCCTATTCACGCATTGACCACTTTCTCATCTCACCAAACTTACTATCTCAAATCACCAAATCGGAGATTGGACCTATCTCCTGGTCCGACCATGCCGAGATAGCAATCACTCTAAGCCTACCAACCATACATACACACTGGTCATGGCGACTTAACCCAATACTCCTCCACGATCAACTGATCAGAGACAAAATAACTATCGCAATCAAAGATTATTTCGAGTTAAACTCACCCACAACGACCTCACCTATGACCCTCTGGACAGCACATAAAGCAGTCATCAGAGGCACACTCATCAGCCTAGCCACCCATAAAAAAAGACAAACACAACGACAAATACTAGAAACGATGACAGACCTCCGCCGACTAGAAACGGAACACAAAAAGAACCCTAACCCGACCACCCTGTCCAAACTCACGGCGATCAGAAACCTCCTTAACACCCTTACACAAGCAGACACAGCCAAAGCTCTGATGTGGCTCAAACAAAAATATTATGAAAAGGGTAACAAGGCGGACACCATGCTTGCCCGCAGACTTAAAAAGCGAACTGAAGCTAAACGCATCACAAAGATACGCACGAACGATGGTACTCTCACAGACTGCCCAACTAGTATAGGAAAAGTCTTCCAGGACTATTACACGGACCTCTACAACCACGACCAACGACCCCATGACACCAGCCCACCGCTGTCCACACGCATAGACACATTCTTACAAAGCACGACGCTACCCACCCTAACGCAAGAGGCCCAAGCAGCCCTGAGCCAAGACGTCACGACAGAAGAAATGGCCATAGCAGTGGGATCCCTCAAACCAAATAAAAGCCCAGGGCCGGACGGCTACACAGCCCTATATTACAAAGAATTCGGCCCACTACTCTTTACACATCTATGCGCGGTCTTTAACGCAGCACTCAAGGGAGAGAACCTCCCACCGGAAATGACAGGGGCAAACATCTGCCTCCTCCCGAAACCCGGCAAGGACCACTCTGAACCCGCACACTACAGACCAATTTCCTTACTCAACGTAGACCTCAAAATCATGACCAAAATTATGGCCAACCGCTTAAACCCATACCTAGGATCCCTCATACACCCAGATCAAGTGGGATTCATCCCGCATAGACACGCCGCGGACAACACCCGGAGAGCCATTGACCTCATATGGCTGGCTAACCACAGACGAATCCCTACAGCGATCATCTCACTGGACGCGGAAAAAACGTTTGATCGCTTGCTCTGGCCGTTCCTCTACCATACGCTAACATACATAGGGATACCACCCGAGTTTACTTCTTTTGTGCATGCCATCTACCACTCTCCCCAAGGGGCACTTCTACTACCTAACATCCCCCCACCACAATTCCCCATTTCAAATGGCACGAGACAGGGGTGCCCTTTGTCCCCCCTATTATTCGCCATATCACTAGAACCTCTACTGCAAGCGGTGCGTGCCAGCCATGACATAGAGGGGCTAACGATCAGGGGAGAAACCTTTAAAATCTCAGCCTACGCAGATGACATCCTGCTAACACTGACAAATCCGGAAAAATCAATACACTCGCTCCTAACTCTCATCCAAGAATACTCAGACCTGTCAGGGTACAAGATCAACCTGAACAAATCAGAGCTCCTCCCAATACAAATAGACGCTTCAAACATAGCTACACTCAAACAAATTTGCCCGATGAGGATCTGCCACACAACGATGACGTACCTAGGGATTCAACTCCCAACAGACATCACCACTCTTTATAAAACAAATTACACCCCCTTATTACAAAAAGCTCACTCTGACCTCACTAAATGGAAATCACTAGGGGTCTCATGGCTGGGGCGCATCGCCACCATAAAAATGAATCTCCTACCCAGATTCTTATATCTATACCAAACCCTCCCCATACCGATCCAAAAACAAGACTTTAAGGCACTACAAACAGCCATTGACACATTCATCTGGAATGGACACAAACCCAGAGTACGCCGAAACACACTATACGTACCCAAGAAACACGGGGGACTAGGACTACCACACTTCACACATTACCACACCGCAGCACACCTAACGCAGATACAACACTGGCACGTCCCACCAGGGGAGAAAAGATGGGTGGACTTGGAACACATCATTTTCGGTAGGGACCATCCGTCCCTGTACATGTGGGTACCCAAACCACATAGACCCCTACCCCCTCCCACTGCTCCCTCAATCACCCATGCGCTTGACACATGGGACAAAATGAGGGACAAATTTGAACTGTCATCGTTCCTATCTCCTATGACCCCCATATGGAGGAACAGGCTATTCCCACCGGGACTTACCCCCAAGCACTTCGCTCATTTTGAACACAGGGACATCTCCCGTCTAGGGCATTTGTACCAAGACAACGACATTATAAAATTTGCGGATATCAAAGACTCATCCTCACTCACCTCATTTGATCACTTTAGATTCATACAATTGCGCAGCTTTGCAGAGACTCCAATCATAAAACAAGCCGGCACAGCTCAACTCAATCGATTTGAAAGAGACTGCATTGCGCACCCCAACAGACAAGGACAAATTTCCAACATATACGCAACCTTAGCGACCCACCACACACAACTGTCTCTCCCATACATAG